GGCACCACCGCCTAGGTCACCCTGCGCTCCCGCGTCTGCGTCACATGTCCCAGCACGGTCTTGTCCTTGGTCTCCCAGGTTCTCTCCCCGCGTTTCCCTCCTCCCAAGCCCCCCCTTGCACGCCTTGTGTCGAGGGTCGGCTTCACCGTGCCCCTCACTCCTCCTCGTTTCCCCCTACCTCCGCGCCGCTGCAGACCCTGCACCTGGACGTCTGGGGCCCCGCCCCCGTCCCTGGCCGCGTCGAGAGCGCTACTTCCTTGTGCTCGTCGATGACTTCACTCGTTACACCACAGTCTTTCCCCTAGAGCGCAAGGCCGACGTGCCTGGCGCTCTCATCCCCTGGCTTGTCTCTGCGCGTGTCCACCGCGGTCTCCCTGTCCTGCGTCTTCACTCAGACCGTGGTGGCGAGTTTGCGTGAGGTGTCCTTGGTCGCTTCTGTCGTGCGGAGGGCATCACCCAGACGTTCACCCTACCGGACTCCCCACAGCAGAATGGGGTCGCTGAGCGACGCATCGGTTTGGTCATGGAGGTGGCTCGCACCTCCATGATCCATGCCGGTGCACCCCATTTTCTGTGGCCGTTCGCTGTGCGCTACGCTTCTCACCAGCTTAACTTGTGGCCGCACCCTCAGCAGTCGCAGGTTTCGCCGACCCGTCTTTGGACTGGGTCTCCTGGTGACGCGTCTGTGTTCCACGTCTGGGGCTGCCTTGCTCACGTCCGTGCCTCCGGCACGGACAAGCTCACTGCCCGCACCCTTCCCTGCGTCTTCCTCGGTTTCCCCTTGACGCGTCCGACTGGCACTTTCACTCTCGTGACGTCACCTTTGACGAGTCCGTCTCCTACTACCGTCGCTTCCCCCACCGTGGTCCCCCGGTTACCCCCCCCCTGTTCCTGGTCACTCCTTCCCCGGTAGTCCCTACCCCTCCTCCTCCTCCTCCCCGTCCCGCCCCCTCTGGTGTGTCCCACGTCACCCCCCTTCCGTCGGTGGACCCGGCTGGGGAGTCTTCTGACTCTGGTGGCCCTCCTGTGCAGTCCTCGCCGGCCGCCCCTCCCCTGGCGTCCCCTTCCCAGTCCCCTCCTCCACCACCTCTGCCGCCGCTGCAGCCGTCGTTGTCGCTGCCGCCGCCGCCGCCGCCGCCGCCACCGCCGCCGCCGCCGTCGCAGCACCCGTTCGCTGACTCTGGGGGTGCTCGTCCCGGTCGCCCTGGGGGTGGTCCCTCTGGGGGTGCGGGTGTGGAGAGTGCTGGTGGTAGCCGAGGAGCAACTTGCGGTCCAGGTGTCGCCGTTGTGCCGCCGCAGCAGCAGTCCTCGCCGGTGTCCGCCCTTTGCCTGCTCGGCCTTCCGTCCCCCGCCCCTGCGTCGGTTCCTTCCCCACCGTCTTCTCCTCTTCCTGTCTACGGCCCTATTTTTCCTCCGCCGGACTCGCCCCCGGCTCGTCTCCCCCCTCGTTCCCCTCCTGTGTCCCCTCCCCTGTCTCCTGACCCAACTCCTCCGTCGCACGTCTGGTCTCACCGCCCCTCCCGTGCTCGTCCTGCCTCCCCTGTCTTGCGCTCCCACCCTATGTTGCTTCGTTCCCACGCGTCTCGCCCTCCCCTTCTGCCGTCACCTCCTCCGTCCTCCCTTGTTGTTGCACCCCCCCCGCTGTCTGACTACATTCGTGCCGCTCGTCCTCTTGTTCCTCGGGTCCTTGCCTCTCTCGTTACCGACCCGTCTGTTCCGGTCCCGTGCCTTGACACTCTTGTCGCTGCTGTCGCTGACTTCGTCTCTACCCGCCGCCTTGACTACGCCACCGCTCTGGTCTCTGACCCTGCCTGTCCTCCGTCTGTCGGGGGTGCTTCTGCCCTTGGCAGTGACGTCCTGGAGGACCGCCAGTTCGAGCTTGCTTTCCTCTCCGAGGCTGCTCCCCATCTCTGTTCCATGCTGCTAGTCCCTGAGGGTGACCCAGACGCTTTCGACATCCCGACCCCTCGCACTTACGTTGAGGCGACCTCGGGACCCTGGGCCTCAGAGTGGATAGCTGCCATGGAGCAGGAGATGGCATCTTGGAGATCCACCGGCACCTTCGTCGACGCAGTTCCCCCTCCTGGGGTAAACGTAGTCGATGGCCGCTGGCTCTTCAAGGTGAAGCGCCCTCCTGAAGAGCCGCCGGTCTTCAAGGCGCGCTATGTGGCTAGAGGCTTCAGTCAGCGCGAGGGGGTGGACTTCTTCCAGACCTTCGCTCCGACCCCGAAGATGACTACTCTTCGGGTTCTGTTACACCTAGCGGCTCAGCGTGACTACGAGCTTCACTCCCTCGACTTCTCCACTGCCTTCCTTCAGGGCAGCCTACACGAGCAGGTCTACTTGCGTCGCCCTCCGGGCTTTACTGGCACCTTCCCTCCTGGTACCCAGTGGCTCCTGCGGCGCCCCGTCTACGGCCTGCGTCAGGCTCCTCGTGAGTGGCACGATACTCTTCGTGCTACCCTTGCTGACCTGCAGTTCTTTCTGTCTTCCGCAGACCCTTCACTCTTCGTTCGTGCTGGCCAGACTCCGTTCTACATCATTGTTTACGTCGACAACCTGGTCTTTGCCACAGCAGACAGGGACGCACTGGCCTCCGTGAAGGCAGAGCTTCTGAAGAGACACACGTGCACTGACCTTGGAGAACTGCGCCGTTACCTTGGCTTGCAGATCTCCAGGGACAGAGCATCGTGCACCATCACCCTGACTCAGTCACACTTGGTGCGCCAGGTCCTTCAGAGGTTCAGCCTTCAGTTCTCCTCTGCACAGCCCACCCCTCTGCCTGTAGACCACAGACTCTCCGCTCCAGTGTCTGAGGAGTTGGTAGAGCCCAGCGGCCCCTACGCAGAGTTGGTGGGTTGCCTCATGTACCTGATGACTTGCACTCGCCCAGATCTCGCATACCCTCTCAGCATCCTGGCTCGCTTTGTGGCCACAGGCAGACACCGACCGCAGCACTGGTCTGCCGCTAAGAGGGTTCTGCGTTATCTTGCTAGTACATCGGGCATGTGGTTAGTGCTAGGAGGACGCAGGCCAGTGGTCCTTACTGGACACACAGACGCTTCGTGGGCAGACGACGCCGAGACACTCCGGTCTACCCAGGGCTACTGCTTCAGCCTTGGCTCAGGTGCCGTCTCGTGGAGAGCTACCCGCTCCTCGTCTGTTGCGCAGTCCAGCTGTGAGGCTGAGATCTACGCTGGTGCCATGGCGGCACAGGAGCTCCGCTGGCTGACCTTCTTGCTCACTGACTTAGGTGAGCGGCCTAGCTCTGCCCCGGTCCGGTTCGCTGACAACAGGGCCATGATCCTCCTGTGTCAGGAGCCTCGACTCGAGGGCAGAGCGAAGCACATTCAGCTGCGGTACTTCCTCCTTCGTGAGCTACAGCAGCGACGTCAGGCTCGCGTAGTACACTTGGCCTCAGGTGCCAACACGGCTGATATCTTTACGAAGGCGCTTGCGTCTAAAGATCATCAGCGGCACTGTGTACAGCTTGGTCTAGTTCCTGTAGCCTCTGATTTGCTAGGACCTTGACTTTGTACTGTCCTTTATACGTATGCTCAGACTGGACTTGTGTCCTCTCGCAGTGGCTGGACTAGTAGTGTCGTTCTGCCCTTGTTCTTGTCTTGTTTGTACTCCTTCTGACTGGTCTCTTAGACGCTTGTCTCAGAGGTTGGACTAGTAGTGCCGCCCTGAGCTGTTTGTTTAGGACATTCCCCTATGCAGTCTAGGGGGTGTGTCAAACATGTGTATTTGTCATGTTTGTATAGACTGTATAGGGTCGCTTCTTAGAGAGTACAACACTTAGGTATATCTTTGTGTACTCTTACTCTATCTATCATTCAATTTTCAATTCTGATAGTCTCTAGCGTTCCGGGACTTTGCCGAAATTTTAGATGGGTTGTAGGGTGTGGGGTGGGGGTTGTCTCTAGGGTTCGGGGACTTGGCCGAAAATTTTTAGGGGTTGTGGGGTGTGTGGGGCATGTCTCTAGCGATTGGGGACTTCACCAATTTTTTCGAAGGTTGGTAGTGTATAGGTAATGAGTCAGGGTCTGTACGCGCTGTGCTCTGAAAACTCAGTACTTGGTTAGCGACAACTCTGATTTTCTCAGGATCCCTAGAATCGTACTCTGAAGGGATCAGGATTGGGAAAATGCCTTATCTGGAAATTCAGGTTTGGCCAAAAAACAGGTCTGAGATTTCAGACTAATAAGAGTAAATAGTCTGATAAAGTCAGCCCTCATAACATATATTACCATATTTTATTTTCAAAATCAAGTGTATTTACATCTTATGAACAGACGAATGATCCGTCCTTTTGTCCGACACTGTTTCCTTCATACAGTAACTGGCCCATGCAGGTTCCGTTTGGATGGTCGGCCCAACCAATGGCGTTACGCGAGCGCTCGAAGTCAGCCCTGGATGACATGGCGCCCACCTGAAACCTTGGCTTTGCGAGTCGCAGATTTCAGGGATTGGACTTCTGTATACGCAATTATTTCGGCTGCCTTGAATTTGCGTGTTCGCAATCTCGTTGACACGCACCTCGTATTTGTGTGGGCAACTGCTCATGTAGATTCTACCATGGGGGGCGATTCCTCCCCCTGGTCGAGCTTCTTTGCCAGCAGCACTTTTAGGAAGAACTGACGCCTAAAAACCACCAGAGTTTCGCAAGGCTGAAATATTTTCACGGACGCTTGAGGAGTAGACACCCAAACCCTGGGTGTCCCGGGCACACAATCACGTCAAATTTTGCCAGGTGTACAACCCCGGAAGAATGTTTGCAAAAAGTGTTGAGCTGCTCAACTCTCTGCAGCTGTTCCTTTCAATACAACCGCCCTCTCTTCCTCCTCTGTCCCCACCATCCCATCCTACCCCCCATTTTCAACAGCAGCCATTTGTTCTGTGGCGCCAGGCAGGCTTGACTGCAAGCTGAGCAGTGGAATCGCCACTATTGCTGCCTGGCATATCTGCTGAACACAGCTCTGCTTCACAACCTCATGAAATCACAAACATCCTGCACTTCAGCGATTCTTCGTGCTCTACATTTGTAAGACTAGTCCATAAGCACATTTGTCACAGAGCTTACGTATCTGCTACTCCTTAGTCTTGAACTAAAGCTTCCGTCCTCAGTGTCAGGATGGGTCGTGAGAGGAAACCAATCACTGCACGACAGCACATCACTTCCCTCCTCGTCGCGTCGCTAGTTCTCGGCGTAATCTGCGGTCCAGCGGCTATCGCGGCGTCGGAACTCGAAGATGCCATCAACAAGGCGAACGCGGTAGGCGTGCTCTAGTAACATATTGGTACTCCCAAGTATTCGATTAAATAGCACGTGTTACAGTCCGCTTTTTGTTACACTCACCTCAAGTTAGGTTCGGGTTTGTATTGTCGCACGGAGAGCGAGTTCCGTCGAACGCGGGTTTCTCGGGCGAGCGACTGTATAGGGTTGCATTCACCACACAAATAAAACAATCGTTCCCGCCCGAAACGAAACCGCCGACTTTAACGAATACTGAGTGTAGTATCGATAGTCTCACATCCATAGAAGTGCATCGGTAGCCGCAGGTGTCTATCATTCTATCGCGGCGTCGGAACTCGACGACGCCATCAACAAGGCGAACGCGGTAGGCATGCTGTAGGAAAAAAAATACAGTACAATATCGGTAGTAGCACATCGGTAATGGCACATCTACAGCCTAGGAGCGCATCGACAGCACTAGTGTCTCCATCATTCTACCGTGGCGTCCGAATTCGAAGATGCCAGCGAGATTGCCTACGCGGTAGGCACGGCGAGCGCGGTAGGCACGGCGAACGCGAGGCGTTCCGGAGCTTAGCACGCTCTGGGACTTGGCACGTAAGAGCTGAGCCCGGAATCCATAATACCCGGCGTAGGACCAGAAGCTTAGCACGCTCTGGGACTTGGCACGTAAGAGCTGCGCCAGGAATGCGTAATGCCCGGCGTAGGACCAGTAGCTGAGCACGCGGGGAATGTCAGTAGTACCGCTGAGGGGTTCCCTTGTCACGACCTTCGGATACACTGAGCTATTCGAAGACAATCGTAACCTCGCTGTTCCTAACGCGGCGAAGTTGGGTGTCTGGTAACGAAACAATCGTCGCGAACCTCGTTTTCCCCTGGTAGACCCATTGACGGATCGTTACCTCGTCGTAAAGCGGAGTCTGAGCGTTGACGAATCCGGAAAAGAAGTGGCTTTCTGCCCGCACGTTGCGGAATCTGTGCGCATGCCGTGATTCTGTGCAGAATCCTAGGCAGAATCGTTGCCCTGATTCTGGGGAGAATTCTTGCCGAGACTCACGCGCGCCGAGAGCCATGTTGATTCTCTTCCACGCCAATCCTGAGGGGCCCTCTTGAGCGTGGGACTCGCAACTCTCGCGCGAGTCGAGATACTAGCCTGTCAGTGACAGTCGATGTCACATCCTTCCCTTTCTCGGCGACTATTTTTCGCTTGGCTTTTTCGCCAGGCCTCGCGCGAAGTTCGCCAGCGCGTCTCGCATCGCGTCCCGCCAACGTCGTCGTTTTCGTTTTAGTGCGTTCGCGAAAGGTTCTGTTTCTCACTGATGAAGCGGGGTTGGAAGGGGGTGGGTAGGTAGGAAGTTGGTTGATAGCGTCTCGAGAATCAGAAGAGCCACGAGCGCTGGGCATGCGGTGTTCAGTTGGCGCTAGAGGAAGGATTCTGAAATGTCGCGGTCCACAGAAACGTTTGGCTTCACTCCGTGTGTGCGCGCGTGCGTGTCTCCGCGTCCGCGTGTGCGTGTGTGTCTCTTGTGCGCGTGCAGAGAGGAGCAGGCGCATCCCCCACCGTGCTCGTCCTCACATCCAACGTGGAGCTCACCGCGTACGTTTGCCATCAACCCTCCTTTTGGCGCGCTTCATCGTGCCGTTTCGAACCCACTCTCGCTCGCTCTGGCTTGAATCGACTCAAGCAAGCAACCCGCTTCCCGATCCCCTTCCTCCCTCCTCCCCCCACCCCCCTCCCCTCCCCTCCCCCGCTTCTCCCCGCCCCTCTGCAGCCCCCTCCCCGCGCTCTCAGGCGCGGCCAAGCTGACCATCAGAGGCGCGTGTGCCACCTCTAGGTGGGTGGTAGTAGGGTTACCAGGTGGGCAATAGCCTATAGGGTTACCGGGTGGTTGGTAGGGTTACCAGTGGTTACAAGTTACTTTTGCGTTTCCAGGTGGGTGGGTAGGATTACAGCTTGGGTGCGTCTGGTTACATGTGGATGCGTTGGGTTACCAGCTAGTTGCTTCAGGCGACTTACATACGCCTCAAGAGCAGGGCCGAGTGTTTATGAGCGCTATGAGTGTAAGAGCAGTCGCCAGTGCGTCTCCGGTAGTTTTGAGGCGCCTCAAAGCCAGTGCGTCTCTGGTGTCCTTCTGTTGCCTTTGCCTCTGCGCCACACACCAGGTGCATCATCAGCGGGGGTGGCGCCTTCCCCATATTCACCTCCCTCTCTGCCTGTCGGTTCAGCCTCTGCTTTCTTCGTCGGTCTCTAACACCCCTCATCATCCCCCGTTCCCCTTTTCTCGGCTCTTTCCCCTCCCATGCACCAGGTGCATCATCAGCGGGGGTGGCGCCTTCCCCATATTCACCTCCCCCTCATCCGGCCCCACTGGGGGAGTGCTCACCCTCTCCAACCTCAACTTCCAAAAGGCGGCAGGGGGCGTGCTGTTCAACGTGCGGGCAGCGATCAACGCGAGTCAATGCGTGTTCGCCGGCAACACCGCCGCTGGCACGGGCGGAGGGGTGCTCAGGTATGGACGGTGGTGTGCTCTGGTGAGTGCTAAAACGGCTGCTGACCATGAAGGCAGTAGGGGGCGTGCTGTTCAACGTGCGGGCGGCGATCAATGTGAGCCACTGCGTGTTTGTCAGCAACACTGCTGCTGGCATGGGCGGAGGGACGCTGTGCGCGGGTAAGTGTTATATTGGGCGCTGAGTGCGGGAGCAGAAAGGGGCGCGCTGTTCAACATGCAGGTGGCGATCAGTGCGTCCCAGTGTATGCTCGCTTGCAACACTGCTGCTGGCACGGGCGGGGGGGGGGTGCGTGTGTGCGTGCGCATGTGTGTGTGTGTGTGTGTGTGTGGATGTGTGTGTGTGTGTGTGTGTGTGTGTGTGTGTGTGTGTGTGTGTGTGCGTGTTTGTTGAGGGGGGTACTGAGGTGATTCTGGCAAACATGGGAGTTTTAGGACGACTGAAAACTGTAGCTTTCCCATTCTGCTTGAATGCAGTCCTCTTCCTCACACCTCACTTCTCACGGGCGACGGCGCCATCAGCATCAACGCCGGGAGTTCCGTATGCCCACCCGTCTTCCCACCCTATCCCCTTCCTTCCCTCGTCCATGTATCAACCCCCACCCCACCACCAGTGACACCTTCCCTGCAACAGCCACCCCGCCCTACCGCCTCTTTTCGCGCTGCACCTTCCAGAGCAACACGGCGCCCATTCTGGGCGGCGGCGCCATCAGCATCAACGCCGGGAGCCCCCTGGGGCGCGTCCCTGCGCTCTACTTCCTGCGCTGCCTCTTCAAGGAGAACAGCGCGCCCAGGAGCTTGGGGGGGGCTATTTCTGTGGCGGGGAAGGGAAGAGTCCGGTTCAAGACGTGCGTGTTTGAAGGGAACAGCGCTGGTGAGTGGTCCTGTGCGTGGCTTAATTTGTTATTCTGTATGTCTGTGTGTCACGTGTAAGTGTGTGTCTGTTAGCGCATCCCTGCACTCTACTTCCTGCGGTACCTCTTCAAGGAGAACAGTGCGCCCAAGAGCCTGGGGGGGCCTATTTCTGTGGCGGGGAAAGGGAGAGTGAGGTTCAAGACGTGCGTGTTTGAAGGGAACAGCGCTGGTGAGTGGATCCCTGTGTGTTTGGGTTGCTGTGTCCCCCAGCATTCTACTTCCTGCGCCGCCTGTTCAGTGATGACAGGTGGGCCTGCCCTCCATGTTTGACAGGCTCTGTTCCTTCGCCCACCTTCCCCTTCCGTCCCTTCCCCACCACCCACACCTCGTCCTTCTGTCCCAGGTGCATCTGGGGAAGGCATCTTCTCCTACAGCGCCTCCCTCTCTCTCGCCAGAGTCACCTTCAAAACCAACAAGTCCCTTGGCACCTCACTGGCTGGCTCCTTTGCCTCTGGCATTGGCGCTGCTGCCTTCGCTCTCTCTCAGCCTCAGGCCTTAATACTCCAGTCGCTTCTTGAGTTCCGACCTTTTCTCTCACCCTCCTTCCCCCCACTCCACCCCCCTCCCTCTCCCACCCTCCCTCTCTCCCCTCCACCCATCCAGGTGCATCAGGGGGAGGCATTTTCTCCTACGGGGCCTCCCTCTCTCTCGCTAAAGTCACCTTCAAAACCAACAAGGCCCTTGGCACCTCTCTGGCCGGGTCTTTTGCGTCTGGCGTTGGTGCTGCTGCCTATGCTGTCTCCGGCCTTCTCAGCCAATCATCTGTCGGCTTCTGCTCCAATTCGTTTTCGGGCAACTCGGGCAGCACTGCAAACGGGGGCTCGCTGTACCTGCAGAAGGCCCCAGGCAGCTCGAAGTTTATCGGGGTGGTGACTTTCTGCAATGGGGGAAAGCCCGCTGGGACGGTGGTGGCGAAGAATGGATGGCGGGTGGGGACCAAGTGCACGACCAGGTGAGAGCAAGTGTTGGGGAAAGGGAGATGGGATGTTTGAGTCGGTCAGACTGCTTGGGAGCAGGCTGGCTGGGACGGTGGTGGCCAAGAATGGATGGCGGGTGGGGACCAAGTGCACCACCAGGTGAGTGAGTGTGTGTGTATGTGTGCGTGTGCGTGTGTGTGTGTGTGTGTGTGTGTGTGTGTGTGTCTTGTCCATGCGTTTATTGTACTTCAGCTACTGCCCACGCACATTACATGCATGGTTATCACCCGTGTTTCCTCCTGTGCTCCCCCTCTCCCCTCTACCCCCTCCTCCCTCTCTCCTCCTTTCCTCCTCCTCCTCCTCCTCCTCCCCACAAGATGCTTTCGTTGTTTCCATTCCTCTCCCCCCCCTTCCCCCCCCACCCTCTGTTCCATGCAGCACCTGTGCTTGAGCGCTGCTTGCCACGCGTTGGACCCAAGGCATGCCACAGTAATAAAACAAAACGCTGCGCCAGCAATATTTTGTGACGTCGAAAAAATACCACCACCTTCCGGCCTCCTCACTGACAGTGCATGTGCCCAATACCGACAACTGCATGCTACACAATTTACTTATTATAAGCACCCCCATCTTGTGGGTGCGATTGGAAACATACGGCCCTTTCTCGTTTGCTGTCCTCTTGTGGCTTTTATTGCTGGAATGGAATATTGTGCATTGCATGACGTGTGCTGCCATTGGTACTGTATATGACTGAATAAAGTATCTTGTAGTGATTTTTCCTACATACGGTATCTCATTACAACAAACAGCAGTTTCAGGGATACGTACCGTATTCCCCCGTATATAACACCCGCCGAACTAGTCACTCCATTCCATGGGTGGCATATGCGGGGCATAGCTTATGATATGGTACGTTTTTTAGAGCACCCGTTTTTTAGACCTTGCATTGTACATACCGGTAACACCCTCCAGTGTTTTTTTCACGTCAAATCCTTTTTTTGTTTTTTTTGTTTTTTTTTTTTTCTGAATGTTAGAGCATCAGTTACAGCAAATTACTACTTAGAGCTTATCTACCTATGCTAGCTACACCTACATGGCGTACTCTACTGCGTCTACAATATAACGTCAATTCTAGTCAATAGTTACGTCTCTACTATCAATCCTCCTCCTCCTCATATTCCTCTCCAGCATGCCACACCTCGGCATCTTCATCGTCGGAGGCAATATCATCCCAGTCGAAATCATCAGTCCAGCGGGACGCAGCCAGGCCAGCAAGAACCTCCGCCGCCGGCATCTCTCCGCCATCGCCCTCGTCATCTTCGCCAGCAGGGACCTCTGCTCCTGTTGCTGCTGTTGCTGAGGCTTTTGCTGTTGCACATGCTGCCGTGCCCAAGGACGAGTCTTCTGCTGCTGCTGCTGTTGCTCCTTCGACATCTGCCTGCGGCATTCCAAAGGATGAGGCTGAAGCCGCAGCATCAATCTTGGTCTCCACATTTGGCTCGTCATCCTCCACGTCTGGCGCAACGCTGGGCTCGATGTACTCCACGTCGTAGAAGGGATTCTGCGTCCCAGTCTCCTCGATTTCAGCGTGCACATCGTCCATTACCTCGACCTCCGCGTCGTCCCGCATGTGGGCAAGAATCACCTCGTCCTCTGTGCCGTCGGTCGCGTTGGAGATGCCGCACGTCTTGAACGCGCGGCGGATGAGTTCTGCCGGCACCGCAGCTCACGCGTCAGCAATCCACTGCAACACAACCTTGGCCGGTGGTTTGCACAGGTTCCCTGGCAGGCAGAAACAGAAACAGGGCGTGGTAGTTAGTCTTGAGTAAATAACGGGGCAAACGCAAGCTATGTGAACCACAGTCAACAAAAGACTAATCACAGAATACACGTCGACAACACAACATGGTGCTCACCAGCAGTAGTGGTCGACTCGCAGCCGAACTCTTCGAACCACTCGCTGTACGATCGACGGACGTGCGCCTTGACGCAGCGGTTCACTGCCACATCCAAAGGCTGTACGATAGGCATGCATCCGCCGGGGATGACTGCATGGGAGAGCTTGAACAGGTGCATCAACTGAGACACTCCCTCAGTGAGGTGTCCCTTGTACGAGTCGAGGACCACGAGCGCCTTCTGATGGCCACCACGCCTCGCAGGGATGGTGCGCAGGAATGGCACGAGGACGGTGGTGACCCAATCCTTCACGTGCGCCTCGTCCATCCAGCCCTTCTCCCGGGCTTTGATGACAATCCCTGCACATGCAAATAAAGCAAGATAATTAGTGGTCGTCTTTATCTTGGTGAAAGAATTTTCACTGGACGCAGGCGTAAACAGTTACAAATGATTATTACCTGGTGGGACTCGGATGCGCGGCAGAGTTTTCCGCTTGAAGATGACATACGGCTTTAGTTTTTTGCCGCTTGCTGTGACTGCCAGCATGACGGTCAATCTCTCCTTCTCGTACCCGGCCGTCCACACATGAACCGTTCTTGAACCGCGGACCTCAAGTGGTTTCCTGCGGCATCTCTAGGAAGAGTGGCGTCTGATCGGTGTTGATGATCAGGTCATCGGGGTACTCGTTCAGCATGCGGAGTTGCCGAACGAACTCCCAGAATTTCTCAACCTTGGCTTCACAGTCTGCCAGTATAAAAGGACAAGATACAAGAAAGTAGAGCATCATTACTAAACGGCCAGGAAGCAACTCAGTCGACTGTAACAGGTGTCGCATGAACGCAGCATGAAAATAGTGTGGCAAGAGGGGAAAGACCACGAAATGGGACGACAGCTTACCGGCGGTCATATGTTGGCCCATCTTTGTCTTCACGCGCTTCGTCAAACCCCAGCGGGTGCGGAATCGGAACGTCCAGCGCGAGGAGGCACGCCAGTCGACGCTGGGGTGGTGCTTCCTCATGTACTTCCGGCTCCATTTCTGCAGCGTGCAGATCGAGACAGCTAGCCCACGTGCGCGGTGTCCAAGGAACTTCTCGTAAATCTCTCGCTCCATCGTCGTGTACTTCGACTTTCTTCCGGAGCCGATGAGACGACGCCTGCAACCAGCAGCAGTAGTGAGGCGAGCCTTGTTTTTCTTCCAATCACGAATCTGGCATGGCTGCACTCCAGCCATGCGAGCGAGAGAGCGCTTGGACAAATCCGGATGAGCCTCCATCTTCGCCAGCCAGTAGAGCTTCTCGGTAGCCGTCCGCGCGACTCGCTTTCGATTCGTCCTGTGAACCCTGGGGGAGGGAGGTGCAGCATCACGGTTAACCTTGGGCATGGTAGGACGGCGTTGTGCTTGTGGGAAATGGGGAACAACAATGCGAGGAAGCGGGCGGGGAGGTTCAGGCTCGCCGTCGGCGGCCTCCTCCCGGTAGAGCTCGTCATCGTCATCTTGCCACGCGTTGTCCCACTCCGGGGGACGAGTGGCTATTGGCGACCAATGACCAGGTGGAGCAGGAGGAGCGGGCGGCGCCGGTGGGGCAGGAGGAGCAGGTGGCGCAGGTGGTGCGGGCGGGGCAGGTGGAGCAGGAGGTGTGGGAGCTGCCGTAGAAGTTCTTGGAGCCGGGGGAACTGGTGGGAATGGCCTAAGTAAAGTCTGGTTCCCAAACTGAGGGCGATGAGGTCGCAACAAGGAAACACCACCAACTGCTTGAGCGGCCATGGATCGAGTGCTAGAAAAAAAGGTATCGGTGCTACAGTAACTAGGCAACATTGAGCAATGCCTGAGCCTCTATTAGAGAGCTCGGGCACTGCGACAGGTTTTGAGAGTGAGCGAGCCGATCGAAAAGCAAGAATGACGATGCGGCAAGAAGTGGTTGGAGAAGAACCGTGGCCAACCCCCAAAGCCGAGTCGTGCACGGACTTGGAAAACGCGATGGGACCATGCATGCTGGTCCCATCTACCAGATTCCCTAACATAATCTAGTCAAGAACTTTGGCACGTCGAGGTACTATATACAAAGGTCTGTACACAATCAAGGTCCTAGCGAGTAAGAGGCTACATCAACGAGACCTAGCTGTACACAGTGCCGATGATGATCTTTAGGCGTAAGCGCCTTAGTAAAGATATCAGCTGTGTTGGCATCTGAGGCCAAGTGTACTACACGAGCCTGGCGACGCTGCTGCAACTCGCACAGGAGGAAGTACCGCAGCTGGATGTGCTTCGCTCTGCCCTCAAGTCGTGGCTCCTGACACAGGAGGATCATGGCGTACAGAACCGGGCCAGAGCTAGGCTGCTCATCCAAGTCGGTGAGCAAGAAGGTCAGCAAGCGGAGCTCCTGTGCCGCCATGGCACCTGCGTAGATCTCAGCCTAACAGCTAGAATGGGCAACAGATGAGGAACATGCGAACCTCCACGAGATGGCACCTGCACCAAGGCTAAAGGAGTAGCCCTGTGAGGACCTGAGAGTCTTGGCGTCGTCTGCCCAAGAAGCGTCTGTGTGCCCGCTCAGGACCACTGGTCTCCGTCCTCCTAGCACTAGCCCCATGCCCGATGTACTTGCTAGATAACGCAAAACCCTCTTAGCTGCCGACCAGTGCTGTGGTCGGTGTCTGCCTGTGGCCACAAAGCGAGCTAGGATGCTGAGAGGGTATGCGAGATCTGGACGAGTGCAAGTCATCAGGTACATGAGGCAACCCACCAGCTCTGCGTAGGGACCACTAGGCTTTACAGCCTCCTCAGGGACTGGGGCTGAGAGTCTATGGTCTACTAGCAAAGGGGTGGGCTGTGCGGAAGAGAACTGAAGGCCAAACCTCTGAAGGACCTGGTGTACCAAGTGTGACTGTGAGAGCGTGATGGTGCGCGCTGCTCTGTCCTTGGAGATCTGCAAGCCAAGGTACGCGCACAGCTCTCCTAGGTCGGTGCAGGTGTGTAACCTCAGCAGCTCGGCCTTCACGGCGGCCAGTGCGTCTCTGTTTGCAGTAGCAAAGACCGGATCATGTACGTAGACAAGGATGTAGAACGGAGTCTGGCCGGAACGGACAAAGAGCGAGGGGTCTGCAGACAAAAAGAAGAACTACAATTCAGCAAGTATAGCACGCAGCGTGTCGTGCCACTTACAGGGCGCCTATTGCAAGCCGTAGACGGGGCGCCGGAGGAGCCACTCGGTGCCAAGGGGGAAGGTACCGGAGAAGCCCTGGGTGTGGCGCAGGTAGACCTGCTTGTGTAGACTGCCCTAGAGGAAAGCTGTGGAGAAGTCGAGGGAGTGCAGCTCGTAGTCACGCTGTGCTGCTACGTGTAGCAGTGCCCGAAGAGTGGTCATCTTTGGGGTCGGGGCAAAGGTCTGAAAGAAGTCCACCCCCTCACGCTGACTGAAGCCTCGAGCAACGTAGCGCGCCTTGAAGACATGCGGCTCTCCATGAGGGCGCTTCACCTTGAAGAGCCACCGGCCATCGACTACGTTCACCCCAGGTGGGGGAACTGCGTCGACGAAGGTACCGGTGGATCTCCAAGATGCCATCTCCTGCTCCATGGCAGCTGTCCACCGAGAGGCCCAGGGTCCCGAGGTGGCCTCAGCGTAGGTGCGAGGGGTCAGGATGTTGAGGGCGTCTGGGTCACCCCCAGGGACTAGTAGCATGGAACAGAGATGGGGAGCGGCCTTAGACAAGAAAGCGAGCTCAAACTGCCTGTCCTCTAGGATGTCACTTCCAAGAGCAGCCACACCCCCGACGGTCGGAGGGCAGGCAGGGTTAGAGACCAAAGCGGTGGCGTAGTCGAGGTGGCGGGTAGCAGCGAAGTCAGTGACAGCAGCGACAACGGCCGACAGACTCGAGAGAGGAACAGA